CACCGCACTATATATTTATATCTTAATGGCTACTATTAATCTGTATCACTAATCTAACTTTTGTGAAATGGACCTTTTCATGATTAACAAAATGATGTTGAATTACTCATATCTCAAATTATTTGACGGTCAAGATTCATGTCTCGTGCTACTGCCGACACTTGCAACATATATATGATAAGAATAACGATACGTAGTCATTAGTAGTACTGAGTACCGTTTTCTATATTATATCTGGGCGATTTCATTGGAAAATTTTATACAATTTTACAAGTATTAATCCATCGCCCAACAGTCCAACCAGTGACTCAGCAGTTCAAATAGAAATCTGGTAACCAGATGCCTTGGTCGGGTCGGGCCAATAACTATGTTTTGATGGGTTCATCTGGCTCCCTACAAATTCTGGGCCTGCCATGGATTCTGGCCCTTTATATCATTTATTTATTTATTTATTTTTTCCAAAAAGGAGATCAGAAGTGGGAAAAAATTGCTCAGGGTCAGCCATAGATTCTCGCACTTTCTATCATGTGATAAGTGCAACTTTAACTTCCTGCCTGGGAGATAGTGTGGAGTCGATTCGGTTGCCAAAATTCTGAGCCCAATTTATTAGGCTTATGTTATTGGACTACTGGAGTGACCCGACCCAGTGCATTGATCCCTTTTTGTTTAACTTCTGGAATTCTTGGAGAAAACGCGTTTGACGCTTTATTCATTTACTAGACATTGCCCGTGGTTGACTGCCATTTTTCGTGTAGAAAGAGTTTTTGGATAGTAAATTTTTGGAGAATGTGTAGTTACAAAGTAGGAAAAGATTTTGGATTTATGTGTAGAATATTTTATCGTGAAAATGCGTGGTTGAAAATAAATACGAGAAAAAAAAGTTTTGAATGAATGGTTGTCAAACAAGGCATTGAACGAGATGATGATGTAACTTTTTACAAACTCAGTGAAAAGGAGGAGAGGCATACTGTAGTGACGGAAGTGGAGGACCAGCTACGGAGCAAACTTTGGTGACCGAAATTTTAGTGGCCAAAAACAAAAAAATGAAAAGTTCAATGCACCAGCCGGGAATCGAACCCGGGTCTGTACCGTGGCAGGGTACTATTCTACCACTAGACCACTGGTGCTACATGTTCATATGGCACTTCTCTTTATATTTCAAGATTTAAAACTTTAAACGTAGGATCTTGAAATTTAAAGTGTGGTATAACCCATAGAAGATTATAGGGTAGTTCTATGAGGACTTTAATACTTAAAGAATCTACGAGTGGCGAATATATATATCGGCATGTTGTGGGGCCCATTACTTCTCTTCATTACAATAAACTCGAACAAGCTCAAAGTCTATTCTCATTTTTGGTTCTAGTACTTATTTTGTTTTAATGTTAAATGTGCTTTTCCAAGCAGTAGACAGTATTAATTTTTGCTTTACCAAATCAAAATGGACGGCTATATATGCATGCAACGTCCACCAATTATCTTATAATTTAGACATGCACCAGTTTTTGTCTATTGGAAAACTGAAGTTGGCTAAGAAAAAGTTAAAATGTCTTATCAACTACATGAGTCTATCTATTTCTTTCTTTCAGTTTTCTGTCATCGTTCCTCTTGAATCAAAGAACGATAATGCCCATATTTTAAATTTATAATGAGTGGCCAAATTTAGTGATTCATATTAGCAGTTTACTGTTTTGAAAAATGAAATGATGAATCTCTGAATTTTCTCATAAATAATGGACAACAAGAATTGGTGCTCTTGTGTAGGGGCGGCACTGTATTTTTGCTTTTGGATGGTCTTACATTTATAGATCTGGAAATAGTCTGGTATGGGAATTTTAACAATTGCTAGAAGAATTTTCGCGCTAAATACTCGTAAAGATCTGAGAATTACTGAATAGCACGTACTGTATATGTGACTCTTTGCAATGTGACAATTTGTTTTCTTATGATAATAAAAGCATTTTCTTCTTCCTGGTCAAATCAATGAGTTGAGTTCCCATCACAAACTAGTGTTAAATGAATGGACATCTCTAGATAGGACTTTCCAGCTTGCATATCATTTGCAGATCATAACGTGGGATGGACCCATTTTTGGAACGCGGTACTAAGAGGTCATTTTGCTCACTAAGGACCTGTTTGATAAAACTTTCGAAAATTAAAAAAAATGCTTTTGAGATTAAGTAGTTGTTTTTGAATATGTTTGAATAACTTTTTGAAAGTGTTCGTGTAGTTAGAAGAGTTTTTAGAGAAAGATGATATAAGGTAACTTCACAAAAAACTTTTTACAAAGAAGTAGAAGCAAAAGAAGAAGCCTGCCAAACGGACCCTAAACAATACGTTTCAGGATAGAATCTTGAATCTTGGTAATGGTGTGTCTTCTTCAAATTATGGTCCATTTACGTTTTCTTTCGGTTGAAGTACTATAGCTGATCAAAACAAGGAAGCGGGGAAGAAATGAAGTTCTCAAATTAACAATTTGCCGTACACGATAAAAAATCTCGAGGAGACTCTGTTTGGATCTATCAATTCCAGTTACACTATTGTGACTTTTCCTGAAGAATAAATGCTTCTCTATTTGCAGTTAGTTAACTTGTATGATTCTGCTCCTAGTCTTGGACTAAGGTTAGCACAGTAGTATAATGAAGCTTTGGTTGCTTAAAGAAGACAACTGTCGTTTTTTTTTTCCCGTGCATAAACTCTTTTGTTGGCCATCAGGATTTTGAAAAAAAAAAAAAAAAAAAAACACGAGAAAATTTGCAAAAACATCTAGATGAATCAGCTGCTCGACTAAGTCCGAGAGTCTTATCATTAAAATAGCTACACGTTATAATAGAACGAACCGACTACCAATAAAAGACACAGTTACATGAGTAGCATATTGTGACTTTGAGGTACAACTTTTTGTGTGATTGGACATATGGATTAATTCATTTATTTAAAACTTTTGATCATGTTTTAATCACTAGAGGCTTAATCAGTGCTTGTTTTCACTTGAATAAAGAAAAAAGAAAAAGAAATTGTCGTACATGCATTATTGTCTTTCATCGTGTTGGATAATATTAAAAATGAAAGTTTACTGCCCTCTGGGGCATAGTTCAGTGGTACAAAGGATAAGAGTGATGTTATCTCATGTCTTGCTGGCAGATGAAGTGTGGGGGTTCGATTCATGAGATATGGAATTGGACTCCTTGTAGGCGCAGTGTACAGACAGCTTTTATTCCCTGACCTGTTGGGGTACATCCCGCGATTTACCTCCCTCACAAAGCTCTAGGAGCGGGGCGGTGGGGACCCTCAAGGTTGGGGTTCAACCTTTATTTTTATTTTTTTTTAAATGAAAGCTTATTTTTTAAATCTAAAGTTTCAATTTTTAATTTCACTTTTAAGAAAAAAATATATCTGTCTTTGTTGTAAGTAGAGGATTCAAGCATTAGGTACTCCACATTCTAGTTTGTGTTCATTGTGACTATGAATATGTTACTTTCTCTAAATGTGAAACTTTATATTCTTAAAACAGAAGAACCCATGAACTCAGAATAGAATTTTTCCCCCCTCAAGTGACCCTTTGACACGTCTTGATAGATAATATCAATATTTTGAGAGATCATCTTAAAAGATAAATCTTGTTAAAGAGTAATTTAAACATTGATACATTAATTCTTATTTTTATATTTAAACAACGTGGGGTTTACTCTTCACAACTGTTTGTTTGAGTTTCAGACAGATGGATTGTTCATTTGAGCTTATTGACTTCTGAATCTCGTTTTGTAAGATACATGGCAGTGATCAACAAGGCTTAAATAGCTTGTTTTGTAAAGTAAATTGGCCAGAAGGAAAAGTCATTTTTATGTAGAGTCATGTGCAAAAATACCAAAATCTTGTTCGTTTTTCTTACACATTCGTATGCAGTACGTGTATAGTACTCAACTGGACGGCAATAAACAATACTGAAATCTTGTATAAGTATCAAATTTTGTGTTGATGGTTGTGGTTGTACATAGGTTCTTATCAGAGCCACTTTAGTAGCTTTAAGCTTGACAAGGATCCTATTCCTTAGTAAGCACCAACAATGATATTTAAGTGGAAGGAATCACATTTTTTTTCTGAATAATAATCATTGAAATAATTAGTTTTTATTATATTCATAATTGTCACCATTTTAGACGACTCCAACAGCAGTCAGCAACAAGATATTCTGCCCTATATAAGTAGAACCAAGAAAGTTGCATACCTCCAACAATTTCTGCTATCTTGAGTGGTTTAGTATACATAATCCTGTGTGTCTTGGTGCTTGATGAACCATATGGAGCAAACAAAGAGACAGAAATCACTAGATATTGATGAAGAGAAATGGGTTTATGATTCTTCTGTTGATCACAAAGGAAGAGTTTCTGTCCGAGCTTCCACCGGTGCATGGAAGGCCTCCCTTTTTATTATTGGTGAGTAATCCATTTAACTACACCACTGCAGGTTCATTTTCTCTTATGCAATGCATGGACGTGTTATTGGACATGCTTCAACAACATAATTGATAAGATTTTAGTTTATTTTTTTTACTGTTATCAGTTGAAATCACCACTTGAACTTGCCAACAATATGTAGCAGACGGTACTCTTATCATGTCCATATGAGAACGACACTATTATTGCCTTTCTTACCTCATTTAGCAATGAACTGAACGTAGTTTATTAGAAATGTAGCTTAGTTTGTTGTTCCTGTCTATCCAACGCTAACGAGGTGTAACAAGGCAGTAGTCAACTGCTTAGATAACCGATCATCGACTGTAGAAGGAAATCTGTGTGGTTCCATTTACAGGAAACGATTAATGTTTGAGTGCATCAGTTTCACCTTTAGTTAAATACGACGTACATTATAAGATTTTCAGTTCAATAACTTTATAGGAATAGGGCTGACCCTCAGAATTTTGAGGTCCTAAGCGATTAATTATTGCGAGATCCTATAATTTTATTTTTCACAAGCTAAAAGTTGGAATTGCAAAATAAAACATCACTAACAACCTCGAGAAATTAGGCTAGCATCATATTTAATCAATTTTTCAAACGCTTTTATTTCATTTTTTTCTTGGCACATTTAGATTCAAATTTTCTAGCAAACATAATAATAACTAAAGAGCAATAGAACCAGACTGATGAATAATTAAAAATTTCCCAGACTCTATGCAAGTGAAACGTTGATTTAGCAATCAACATTCATATAAAAACCCGAATAATGAGAATGAGTAATTAACGATATTTTGTAAACAAATAAGCAATATAAAAATAATTTCCAGGCCTTAAACAGTTAATTATGCATTTGTAAACAAATAATATACGAATCTTTACCGTTGCCAATATTTTCACTATGTAATGCATCAAAATCTAGAGAAATTAGAAGCTCAAATCAATAGCTCTGCCGTCAATTATGCATTTGCAAGTAAAGATTTCTTTATTCAAAACCCTCAATAAAGTTTGCCCACCAAATTTCCACTTCAAAAGTGTAGCAGAAATTTACAATTTTGTTTAAAAGACTGCTTTTTTCCCACTGCCCACGAGCAATTTTGCAGAATTCCTGGACAAATTCAGTGCCTTCACTCCAAAAAAATCACAAATATTTAACCATAACCCTGCTATCATTATGTATTTGCAAGCAAGCAGAAACACGTATTAACATGAATTTGGTCATCACCTCACATTCAATAAAAAGTTTACCTAAATTGAACACGTATGCAGAAGTTGAAATCAGCCAAAAGCATTTTTGGATCTACCAAAATTGGATGAACAATCAATTATCCGGAAGACGAAATTTACAAAAAGAAAGCAGGATCTTGTACGGGATTTTGCTGCAAATATAATAAGTTGGATTGAATTTTTCTGGTGTTTGGTGAATTTCTCACGTCTCTCTTCTACCAAGGTAAAAAGGCTTATTTTGAGCAAGTGGGTGGAATTTAGACATGTCCTGAGGGGTGGGTTTGGGGTTGAACTTTTTTACAAGGCCCTGCAAATCATGATGCTCAAGGCGGCTGCCTAGTTCGCCTTGGGCCAGGGCAGTGGCAGAAAGTAGATCTCTCTCACTTTAGTCCCCTAATTGCTAAAGTAAATCAAACTCAAGCAGGATTCCACCGTAAACATGTGGAGGAAACTATTTGTCCTAACCTGGTACACTTCTTTAACATGTATTAGATTCTTTTAGCTTAGAATTGGAAAAATGTCAACCATTTTCTTTCATTGGCAGCAATTGAATTCAGTGAGAGGTTGAGTTATTTTGGACTAGCAACAAGTTTAATCATATACCTTACCAAGGTGATCCATCAAGACCTAAAAATTGCGGTTAAAAGCGTCAACTATTGGAGTGGGGTAACAACTATGATGCCACTGCTTGGAGGATTTCTAGCTGATGCTTACCTTGGCCAATTCTCTACTGTTCTTGCCTCATCCATTGTTTATCTCCTGGTATAATATTCTGTTTCTATTGATGAGAAAAGTTTGAATGTTGTTTTTTGGGGTGAATCATTCGTGTTATTCATTGAATGGCCTGTCGAATTACCATTTTCCTATGCAAAAGGATGTGATTTTATCAACTTTTTTTGGTATGGATGGTAACATGTTTAGTAAGATGGATTGAAGAATAGTGGACAGTAGTAAGAATCAAGCAGTTGTTTCAATGCCAATTCATTGGTAAGACTACTGTGTTTATAAGTGAGAGCGACCTTGTCTATTGCATAGTCATGTCGTGTTTAGTACTGCGTACCAAACATTTCATCCAAAATAGCTAATTAATAAATAATTTGTTGTCTTTTGATGTGAAAACAGGGCTTGCTTCTTTTAACAATGTCAAGATTAGTCCCAGGCTTGAAACCTTGTGATTCTGGGTTGTGCCATGAACCCTATAAGGTTCATGAAGTTGTGTTCTTTATTGCAGTCTACTTGATTTCAATAGCAACTGGAGGGCATAAACCCTCTCTGGAGAGCTTTGGAGCGAATCAATTTGATGATGATCATCCCGAAGAAAGAAAGAAGAAAATGTCATTTTTCAATTGGTGGAATTCTGGGCTATGTTGTGGCCTATTACTTGGTGTAACTGTGATTGTCTACATTCAAGACCAGGTTAGCTGGGCTGCAGCAGATATCACTCTTTCAGCTGTCATGGCTTCAACTATAGCGATTTTCTGTATGGGACGGCCATTTTATCGTTATAG